AGAAGCAAGAAGCCAGAAGCAAGAAGCAAGAAGCAAGACGCAAGACGCAAGAAGCAAGAAGCAAGAAGCCAGAAGCCAGAAGCAAGAAGCAAGAAGCAAGAAACAAGAAGCAAGAAGCCAGAAGCCAGAAGCAAGAAGCAAGAAGCAAGAAACCAAAACAAGAAAACAAGAAAAAGAAACAAGAAACAAGGAACAGAAAACAAGAAACAAAAACAAGACAAAGAACAAGACAAGAACCAAGAACCAAGAAACAGAAACAAAAAACAGAACCAAGAACAAGAACCAAGAAAACCAAGAACCAAGAACCAGAACCAAGAAAACCAAGAAACACGAACCAAAGAACCAACAACCAACAACAACCACACCAACAACCAACAACCAACAACCAACAACAATACAACAAACAACAAACAACAAACAAAAAACAACACACAGCAAACAGAACAGGCCAACAGCCAACAGTCCAAAAAGCCAACAACAACAACAACAACAACAACAACAACAACAACAACAACAACAACAACAAAACAAACAACAACAACAACAACAACAACAACAACAACAACAACAACAACAACAACAACAACAACAACAACAACAACAACAACAACAACAACAACAACAACAACAACAACAACAACAACAACAACAACAACAACAACAACAACAACCAAAACAACAACCAACAACCAACAACCAACAACCAACAACCAACAACCAACAACCAACACCCAACAACCAACAACCAACAACCAACAACCAACAACCAACAACCAACAACCAACAACCAACAACCAACAACCAACAACCAACAACCAACAACCAACAACCAACAACCACAACAACAACAACAACAACAACAACAACAACAACAACAACAACAACAACAACAACAACAAGAAGAACAAGAAGAACAAGAAGAACGAGAAGAACAATAACAAAAACAAGACCAGGACCATGAACAGGAACACTAACAACAACATGCACAAGAGCAAGGACAAGAATCAGAACAGCCAAAACAAAAAACAAGAACAGTACCAACAACAAGAAGAAGGCATCTGAGCCGTTCGCCGCCGTGGAAGTTTCACCGATTTGAAGAGCGCTTCGTTCCAAAACGTGGAACTGTCAACAAATCCATGTGGCTGCACCCCCAAAAAGGTGCAAACAAATCCATGTGGCTGCACCCCCAAAAAGGTGCAAACAATGATGCGGTTTCACTGGACGTGTGTGCTTAACAGTGGTCATGGTGGATACAGCTCTGACATACTGTGGATGGACGACATCCTGCACCACCTAAGAAACCCTGAAATGTTGATTCCCCTGTAAAAACCAACAAACAATGGTATCCCATTCTCTCAAAGTGGTGCAGGATTACGTCCATCCACAATAAGTGCGCGTGGAGGTGTGTGCTTCGCAATGGTCATGGTGAATACAGCTCTGACATGAGTGCGCGTGGACGTGTGCGCTTAACAATGGTCATGGTGGATGCAGCTCTGACAGGAGTGCGCGTGGACGTGTGTGCTTAACAACTGTCATGGTGGATACAGGTCTGACATGAGTGCGCGTGGACGTGTGTGCTTAACAACTGTCATGGTGGATACAGGTCTGACATGAGTGCGCGTGGACGTGTGTGGAAAACAATGGTCATGGCGGATACAGCTCTGATATGAAGCACTCATTGAAATCTGCGAACCTTCCACGGCGGCGAATGGCCCGATTGGGAAGAACAACAACAAGAACAAAAACAAGAACAACAAGAACAACAAGAACAACAAGAACAACAAGAACAACAAGAACAACAAGAACAACAAGCAAAATAACAACAACAAGAACAAGGACAACAATAACAACAAACAAACAAACAAGCACAAGAACAAGAGCAACACGAACAACAATATCTTGCTGTGTGTTCTTGTTGTTGTTCTGGTTGCTCTTGTTGTTATTGTTGTTGTTCTTGTTCTTGTTCTTGTTCGTGTTCCTGTTCCAGGTGCTGGTCCTGGTCTTGTTGTTCTTGTTGTTCTTGTTGTTCTTGTTGTTCTTGTTGTTCTTGTTGTTCTTGTTGTTCTTGTTGTTCTGGTCCTTCTCCTTGTCTTGTTCTTGTTCTTGTTGTTCTTGTTCTTGTTGTTGTTGTCGTCGTCGTTGTTCTTGAGTGTTTCTTGCTGTTGTTCTGGTTAATATTAACCAACAACCCCTGGACACAGGCAAAACTGCCAGCTGCAGATTGTCAGCATGAGCATCTGTCTCTGAGACTCCGGACGTGTCTCAGGCGCTGACACCTTCACCCAGCTCCAGTCTGACTCCTGTGCCATGAAAGCGCAGCTGCACCCAATCAACAAGAGGCGAAACCGGAGATGTGTTGCTGTCCTGCCCATAGGTGTCCTTTTAGGGCAAATAGATGGCCGGTAGATGATGAAACCACCACATAAACCAGGGTCATCTATTTTTCCACGAAAACAACCAAGAAGGACACCTATGGTCCTGCCCAGAAGCCACTTTCCTAAGTGAAAGGAAGCACAAAGGTGCCCGCTTGGGGGCTCAACTTGAGACGATCAATAACTCGCGGTAGCTCTGAGTAACTCTAAGTGAAAACATCCACACGCACAAAGCGAATCAGCCGCACAAAACATATTCATGCAAACAAGGATACTCAGCAAGGTGTCCATCAATAGCAGTCTCAGAGTCTCAGCCCATATTATGCTTGTGGTGGTTCCAAGTGAGACGCCAGCCTATGCTTGATTCTACCAATTCAGATCGAATAGTAAATGGCCCCTGACTCTTTCAAGGGTTGTTTGTAAAATGAGGATCCCCAAATACAAGCTCGATATGTAACCCCAGCAGCAACTCCCGCAATCCGTCGGCTCCGAACCACTCCAAAGCCTCAGTTGGGGAACAGTGTTGGTTCTAGAGCCTTCCCCAGTCGGGGGGCGTGGGGATTCAACCCCTAGATAGGTTTTCTTCCTTTGGTATCCCTTTTGAGACCTCCCAACAAGCCCCACCGGGCCCTACCCTCAACACTCACATTCAGCCCGAAAGGTCCTCTGGAAGATCCTCCTCAACAAAGACCGGAGCTGACGTCGGCGCTGACGTCGGCGCCGACGTTGGCGCGGGAACTGAGGTGGTCTTTGAGGGTGCCGAGGGTGTCGGAGGGGCATAGCCCTTGGCGCTAGCAACGAGTGCAGAGGTTGGAAAATAAGAATCAATTTCGAGACCAGAAGTGTGACACACGTTGAGCCCAGAACAGACGCAAACATGTGGTGCAAGTGTTGGCTCTAAAGTGGATGCCCTGGCGTGCGTTTGGTTTCGCTGACCATATGTTTTTGCATACGGGTCGAACAGTGCGCGTTCCGAAAGTCGCTTGCGCCTTCTCTCGGAGTTGGGGTCTCTCAGTTCGCTGCGAGAATCTAGGTTGGAGTTGTGCCTGGGGAAGGGTTTGAGGGGGGAAGATCCTATGTTGACCACGTGTCAAGCACGTCACTCATCTTCTAAAGTTGCCTAGGCGAAATGCACTGTATTGGCGGAAGCGAAACATGCTGTGTGCGGAAACCGCCCAGCCAAAGGGAGGGATAGTGCTGCCAGTGCCTTGCAACACCTGACAGGGCTCATGTGAAGCAAACATGTGGCACAATTTTTAGAGAGTACAAAACTCCACAGCGGTTTGGGGTTGTAGGGTTCAGGTCTAGGGTTTGGGTTTAGGGTTTAGGTTTTCCCTCACTGCGCCCACATGGACCAGGACTCTCGAACCCCCTTCCGCAGGAGCTCCAACCTCAACTCTTGAGCCCCCCGCGGTCTCGGAAGTGCGGGTGCCTTGAGATCTTGCTTCGGCCCAGGACCTGACGCGGGTCCGCAAGAACAAGTCAATCGTCATATCCTGAGTGATAGGCTGGGTGAGACATGCGGGCGGTTGGATTGAACCTGGGGAGTGAACCAGCGCCCTCGAGCTGCGTCGTCCCGTTTCCAAAGCCCCAACTGCTTTTAACAAACAAGCATTGGGATGTGCTAGTCAGCATGGCCGGAGGTCCGCGCGGCCCAGAAACTTTTTGAGATCGCGCCAAGTATTCACTTCCAGGACCTGGTTGAAAGGCAAACGCTGCGATGATTCCAAAGAAAAGCTCCAGGGGCGCATGCCGGGCCGTTGTCATGGCGGAGGCGCCCTTTGTTTTGGCCACCCCTCGCTCAGTTCACGGCTACTCCTAGCCAGGTGCGGAAAAAATGCCCCCCCCCTACACACCATAAAAACGGCATTAAAATATTCTTTCCCCCGGTAGAGAGGTTAAGGGCACCGTTTCTTTGTTCTGTAGCCTATTGTAGTAGGGGAACCCTCCCAACCAAAAAAGAAACGGTAAACGGGCACTGGGGGACCCAACCAACCAAAGTGAGAAAGAGCCCCAACCAACCAACTATTGTAGTAGAACCGAAAATCTCCCAACCAAAAAAGGTAAAAGGGCACTGGGGGACCTAGAGATCCCATTCAGACCTTCGTGAATCTCCCAACCAAACGAGAGGAGGAAAGAGCCCCAAGCTCGACCCACGAGAGGAGCCCGCCCGGAGGGGTCTACGTTCGCTGTGCCCCTGGCTGCACAAAGCGGCTCCGCGCCACACGCCCGCTGAGGCCCAGCTCCTCAGCCCAGGCCTCAGGTTCCAGGGCTGATCTCTTGTTTTCTATCTAAATTCTCGGTCTTTTTGATAACTTTTGTGTCTATCTTTGCTCTTCTTTCTCTTCTTCTTCCCATTCTCTCGTCTTTGTACTTCTGCTTCTTCTTCATATGTCTTCTTTCTCTTTCTCTTTCTTCTTTTGACTATCTTTCTTTTGTTGCTTCTTCTTTTGTTCTTCCTCGTTCTCTTTCTGTCTGTCTCTCTCTCTCTCTCTCTGCCAACAAAAGCTAAGCGTGCAAGCTACGAGTTTTTCGGGTCGAAAGCGCGCAAAGCGCCTACCCCTTCTCGATGGTTGCGCAAGCCAAACACGCGTCTGCGCAGTAAGTACTATACCTCAAAGGATCCCCGCCTGAGACGTACCAGCCTTTCTTGGTTGACGTTGGAAGGGGAGAAAAAATATCAATTTTAGCAGTTAAGTGGTTGGATTTCAACCACTAAATCACAATAAGCAGAAATGTAACAGACTCTGTCACAGCTGTCTGTCACAAGCTCTGTCGCATCTGTATGCCGGATCTGTCTGTACCCCAAACCTGTCGGGTGGAGAGCAAGAACGTGACTTTGTTTGAGGTGGAGCCCCGGAAAGTCCACAAGGAGTTGCACGACCAACGGAAAACTGTCAGAAACCACAAGGTCGACAACTTCCAACTTCCCGCTCCGAGACCGTCGCGACAGAGGTGGCTTGTGCACATGCGTGCTCCGCCGGACAGGATTGTCGTGATTCTAGACAGCCGCTATCACAAATGTCCGTAGGTCGAGCGCTTCCCAGCTGCACTACGTATATTACAGGCAACTAGCAACATGGGCCTTGGCTTCCATGAGTTCCCCTGTGACTGCAGTAATTGGTTGATTAGACTGATTCTATGTCTAGTGGTTCTAGTGTTATAAAGGTAAACAATGGTGTCTGTATGCATCTATAGAATTATCAAAGGAAGTTATGCAGAAACCGCAGTGCTGGAACTAATTGAGATAGCTCTCTCTATCTCTGGCTATCTCTCTAAGAATGCATGCACTTGCGCGTGATCTTCAAGACTGGATGCACTGAGCGAACAAGCTACGAACAAGTTGGACAACGCGAGAAGAAGGTTGTCAACCATGCATCCTTCTTTGGGGAAAGGGGGTCCTCCACTAAACTGCCCCAACTAGGATAACAACTAGGAGTTTCGAAAATTCATTTCGGGCACCCCCCTTCTAGTTTGTGTTCAAATGGCAACCAAAAGGAAACCCTTGCCATTTCAAACGCTATGCGCGGGCCTTCCAAACACTATTTGGGTGTCATTTGCAAGGGTACCCCCTTGACTTTTCGTGGTTTCAACGGACAACAATTTTGTTGGGCCCCTGAAAACACAAACAAACACGCAAACACAAGCAAACCCACAGACACACAAACACACAAACACACAACAAACCCAAGCACACACACACACACAAAGACACAGCTGGGCCCCGCAAGTCAAGTGGCACGGGCATCCTCCTCGGAGCTGGCGCCCGCCGCCAAATCCGCCACACTGCGCAGCTCCTGGTCTTTGGCCTCGGCGCAGGCCGGCTTTTGGCCGTGCGGCAGCGTGGCTGGCAGTGGGACGGGGACGGGATGACGTTGCACCGGGAGCAACAACTTTTCAATTTTAGCAGTAAAGTGCTCGGATCTTAACCACTAAACTAGAATAAGCAAAAACAGTGAGGTTACAATGTCAACTAGGTCCTCCAATAGAGAGGTTAGAAAAAGGCTACCCTATTTTTTCTGTAGTCTATTCTAGTAGGGGAACCCAATACCCCCAAAAAGGGTGAGAAAGCGCACTGCTGGGTTAACAGTGCATGTTGGCACCGGCTTTTATGGACACCATGACGAGAGATGAACAACCCTGACTCTAAGGGAACTCCCCTCAACCCCCCCTGGAAGTCCAGAAAGAGAAAAAGACGGGAACTGCGGTTGGTCCAATGGCTTCATTCGAAAATTCACCCAACAATCGGGGTAGGGCGTCAACGAATTGATCTCTCAAACCCGGCTCAAAGAAAAGAAAGGCCACTCTGAGCCAATCTGAGGTTCCACCCAAGGTTTCAGAGATTCGGCCCATAAAAGTTGAACGGATAGAAACCATCCGAGCCTGGTGAATCCGCGTAAGCAAATTCGTATCCCCTAGGCTTCTTTTTTTAGCGGAGAGGTCAGAAAAAGTCGGGTACCGACTTTTTCTGTAGTCTATTTTAGGGGCTTGCCCTCCCAACCAAACAAAAAGGTGAGAAAGGGAACTCCCCGAACACCTGGTCCCCTGTCACGTCTGGTTGATTTCAGCCTCAAGACCTGGAGGCTGAGAAGTGAAAGGCTGAGGGTGAAAGGGGGCAACATGGCTGTGGCTCCAAGTCGGTATCCCAAAATGGGTTGCCCTGGACAGTGGAAGCATGGACTAAAATTGACTAAACCAACTACGGGTCCATATCGTTTAAAACAAAAATTACCCGTACCCAAATGGCAGTGGCTCAAAAGATGGCTCCCAAAAATCACCTTGTATGGAAACAATGACTAAAAGCCAAGCTCACCTCAGCTGTGGAACTTGGGGCACCCAAATGCCGATTTCTTTCTGCCACTTTGAGTCTCGATCTCGACCGTTTTTTCAGAGTCTCGCGACCGTTTTCTCGCTCGATCTCGAGCTCGATCGCGCTGGCGATTTCGTGAGGCGCTGGCTTCGATGGAATCGAGCTGCTCCTCGGTGAAGCCTTTGTCCAAAAAGAGGGCCTCGCTTCACGGCCAGGTGCGAAGCGCCCCAGAACAGAATTACCCTGAGCAAAAAAAGGGGAGTGCCGCATTTTGGGGCCTCACATCCCTGGATAGGGAAACAGAAGGAAACACACCCATTTCAGGGTTTCCCAAATCCCGTCAGGCAGTCTCTTGCTTACCGATACCTTGAAGTGACGGCTTGCACTGAACACTTCCGCAAGAACGGGTGTTGATTTGTAAATCAAGGGGTTGATTCCCCATTATTTTCAACCATCGTTCTTTTCAAAAACCAGCTTTTTCCCCCAGGGCTTTTGGTGGTTTTCTAGGAAGAAGGATCCCTGGAAACTGCCCTTAGAGTTAAGGGAAACCACAAGCTCGCTGTGCCAGGGTGGGGACGAGCAACACCCTTGGCTGAAAAGCCTGGCGTTTTGGTGGCAAAACGCAGCGGTGAAATTGCTGACGTGTCTGGCACGCATGATCGGATCGCTTGTAATAATGATGGCGCTGGTGCTTCTTGCTGATGGCTGGCAAGTGTAAAACAGCTGCCGTGAAAAATGACAATGGTCATGATGCTGGCCAGGCTTTATCAAAGCTGGCTAGGCGTGCTAATGCAGGGATATTGCGAAACTCAATGCTGGCAACACCAAAGAAGACACTATACGCTCACCTGTGAATGCCATTGCAGGATCAACATTGATGCAGTGGCGTGCATGCCAGTTGCTGATGCTTGTGTATAAGGGGACGAAATCAAGGGCCCTCTTAAAGGGGCAGGATACTTAGTAAGTGGTTAGTAAGCCTGGTTGTAGCACACCGAACGGAGACTTTTACTCATGGTTTTTTGGTGGGTTATAACTATGGCTATGACCCACTTACGAAGTACCCGATCGCCCCTTTAAGCAGAGGTTATGGAACTCCCGCCAGTTTGGCACTCAGTACCCGGCCCGCAAAAATCCGTCCATCTGACAGATTGAGGCGAGACAGGCGAAACGCCGTGCCGCCCTTTAAAAATGAACAAATCCCACCCCAAAATCGGCATGGATGTGCCGGATGAGTCTGGATGGGCTGTCCGTTTTCAGATCCCCTGCTGAAAGCGCAAACACTTTTAGTTGGCTAAATGGAAACCCCCACGAAAGCCTAAAAAGCTACGCAAGAAGGTGACTGGGCTTGCCACTTCAAGTGTCAACAGTGGTGCCAACCTCTGAGCTTCAGCTAGATGCAGCTAGCCTTGGAGAGAACCCCGCAAACGAAGTTGCAATGCGAAAAACGGAGAAAATAAAAACTTGACCTCAATGCGACGGCAAATAACATGATTGATGCTGTTTTGCAATTGAGTTATTTGTCTGTGATGAAGGTGTGTTCTCGTTTTTCGACTCTCTATCTCCGAGAGTCTTGACAGGTGCGCTCGTCCTGAAGCTCTTAAGCAACTAGCCTCTAGACATCATTATGATTTCTGGCAACAAATGCATTCACCTTTGCTGTGCCACCCCCTCATGTCCTTCCTGCGCAAAACAGACTTGACAGAATATTTGGCTGCGGGGCAAAAATAGGTACCCCAACACGGAACCCTGGTAAAAGGAAACATGGACTAAAACCTGCGGTCCATATCCTGGTGGTTTAACTTTGACCCACAGCCATTTAGAGATCTGTGATCAGAGGGTCACATCTTCTGCAAGCTTTTCTGACATCCACGCCTGCTCGCCCTCGCTTCGAAGCTCGGGCCGGGAGATGCCGCGCGAGACCAGCGCACGTCGAACACCATCAGCACTGAACCAAACTTGAGTCAGAATCAAACCCGGTATAAAAATGGTCGACCCAGAACCATGCTTGAAGAATTAAGAAGGTGGATATCCGCAGCTATTTATGGTTGGGATTGTCACTTCCTAACCTTCATCTACCCAGGTTTTGATTGTGGCTCACTTGATGTTGCTTCAGTGAAACATCCTTTCCGAGGTTCTCAAACATCAATAACCCATCATCCATTAAACAGGCGATCTTGCCAATGCCAGTTGATCCTGATCCGGAAATCAGCTTCCTTTGCCCCTGGAAAGGCAAGATCCAAGCGGGCTTTACACTGTCTGGGGAAGGGTGTCTATTTTCAACCAGTGGGTGTGTGATTGAGAAAAGCCTTGATCTGCAGTAATTGCTGCTCATCGTTCTTTCAAAAACCAGCTGTTTTCCCAGGATGTTGGGCGGTTAAAAAAAAAATGCCTGGCAAGAATGGGGAAGGTACCGCTAGAAATACGCGACAAAGTTCCAAGTACACACCTAGGGGTGCAAGTGTGCTCAAGTCCCATTTGGATTCAGGCCAGCACGCCGCCTGAAGCCTTCAAAAACTGATGTCTCCATGCCTTTGGAAGGCCACGGCTGTGGTTTTGTTGGGCCTGTGAACTTGTTGTTCGGGATTCGGAGCCTGGAAAAGCCCCCCCGCCTTTTGGACAACAGGGGTCAAACACAAAGAGGGAGCGCCCTAAGAACTGTGCTGCCAGCCAAGTCCTTTTGGGCCAAAGCCCGGCTGCAAATTCTGGCTGAATCGGGACCCACGTCCAGCGCCTGCATCATCCAGCGTGGGGTCGTACTCTGACATGTCCCCGCCCATCCTGGACCGACTCTGCCGATCTACGCGTAACAGCAGGAAACACAACCAGCTGCAACATGCACACCCAGCAACGTGCCAAAGGGTGATGAGTTGATTTATCTGTGAGCTTGTGAAGGGCGCAACTCTCCAGCGCCGCGGCTGGCGCAACTGCGCTGGCGCAACTCTCTGCTCCAAACGACTTCTCACTCCCAATCATTGGTCTACATGTTTCGTCGCCAACTCAGGGGACCAAGCCCAGGTCCGAATTACAAAACGATTGTATTGGTATACCAACGTGTAGTTCTTATGATACATGGGAGTGCATGTTTTCACTGTACCCGTTTTTGGTGGCTGTAAAGGAAAGTCAAAAGAAAAGAAAACGCTGTTTCGGGGTCCCCTAAAACAAGACAAGCCCATATGTGTGTACATATATATATATATATGTATGCATACACATGTGTACACACATATATATATATATATATATATATTATATATATGTACACATGTCGCATCAAAATTAAAGGGTCATGGACCCATTGTTTGAGGGTCATGGAGACTTTAGGAAGGCGTTTAAGTGTGGCTTTTCTCTGAAAAGTCCGGCCAGTTCCACATCACTTCGAGGAGTGTCCATCAGGTTGATGCCTAGGTTGTGACACGACAAAGGCGTTCATGAAATTGATCCGGGGCCCTTTTCCCTTCCCAGGGCCCACGTTCTCTCGGCTGCATTGATTGATTGTTCGGCGCGGATGTGACTTGGGCTCGCATGTAGGATTGGTATTGGGCGGTTTGTGGTTGGTTCGGGTTTGGGGGTGGTTCACGCTTAGCCCATAGGGTGGATATATATATATATATACACCTAAAAAAAGTACGAAACCGTAACTAGTCATCATGGTCCTGTGTTTCGGCTGGGCCCTCAGAAAATCCACGGATGCAGAGGCTCCCACTCGATCCATCTAGGCTCCCGGCTGGTCATAGTTCTCGAAGCCAGCCCAGCCAGGGATCTGACAGGGCTTACCGAATAAACCCACCCGCATGTCTGGCTGTGGCTAAAATAATGATACCCAAAAAACACACCTCATGGAAGTAAAGACCAACTGCGTAAGCCTATTGAATCTTGAGCGCCCATTCGGGTCCTGAATCCAGGCATCAGGAGCTGGGAATACACCGGTTTCAACATTGGGGGGTTAGAGGGGTCAACAGTAGATGGGAACAAATCGAGGGGAATGCAGCGACCTGCTGTCTTTGCAGTGGACTGAACGCTGCTGCAGCCATGGCTTGCTATTTGCTCCAAGCGCGGGCTATGCAAAGGGAAACGGATGACACGGAATCGTTGCATCCGCGATACTTCACAATCCTGCTGCGAAAAAAGTATTGCCTTCCTTTTCAGGATGGGCCTCGCGCCAATTCCAAGCAATGTACCTACAGTGCCAAGGGTTTGGGACCATGATTTCCCTACATATGTTGATCTTCCTGGCGGCTCTTTGACTTCAAAAAGCATGAAGAGAGCTGCCCGAAACTTTGGCTTTGGAAGCTGCTCAGAGCCCAAGGTTGCTCAACCTCAGGCTCGAAACGTCACAGGGTGGCATGGACCGACATGGCCTACAGGGCGCACATGCCCACTCCTTAATGGCCGCATAGGCCTAAGCCCCATCGCACTAAGCCACCCAAGCCAATTCACAAGCCACCCAAGCCCAATCTTACTCCTAAGGCTGCCTGAGACACCCGACACTAAGCTGGACAGCACAAAACACCAACAGCGCACGACAGGTGCCGGATTCTGTGTATCAACCGAGTCGAAAGCGACAATGCACAAACAATGACATCCAAACACAACGTACCAAACACAAGCTGCCATAAAGCCAAAATCCGAAAGCGCTTAGCCCATTGCGAGGTTACCACCAAACCACCCTTCCCCAGAAACAAAACAACAACGGAGGGTTCTGTGACAAGTAGTCAGGTTGGATAGTGCTGACGGAAATTGTTTTGAATGACGGTGCACACTCTCTTAGATCCTAGGAAGAGCCTCCAGCTTGTACTTCTCCAGGATGTCATGCACCTATCCGCCAAGTGCGGTTTCTCGAACCCCCCAGAAATGGGAGGCATCCGAAGTTTGGGGAAAGCCAGTTAAATCCAATCAGCCTCCTATGTTTTTGTGCCTAAGAGGTTCTGAGCAGCTTGCCGCTATGACCGGGGCTGATTTCATGGTTGATATTTTTTGGAGTCCAATAGACGACCCACGGTGTGATCTGAAGCACCAGTCCACTTGGGTCCTTTCAAGGTCAAACTAATGAGTTAACGCCTAGACGCCTGGACGGGTGTCTAGTAAATCATGCGAATGCCTGTATGGCCTAGGGCAGATCAGTGGATCCTACTGCCTACGAGGGCGCCATATTTTTGCGTCTTTTGCCCCTCCAAAAGGTGCAAAAAAGGGCATCGCCGCCTGGAAACAGAAGTCAACAAGCTCAGAAGTTCGCTCGGCGTTCTTGGCGCGGAATTTGAAGACTTGCAACGAAGAAAGGATCGAGAGAAGCATGCAGCCAAGCTGATGAAATGGCTAAGA